AGATTACATTGATAAGGATGGTAAATAAGAAGATCTTTGATAAAGACTGAGGAAAAACTGTATTATCTTTTGGAACTATAGAAGATTTTTTTCTTTATTATTTATCGTGTCATCCGCAACCAGAACATTGTATTACATTTCTAACAGAACAAAACAAACAAACAGATTAAAAAACCCCACAAATTTTGCAAACTTGGTAGCTGATTAAATGTCCTTTGACCAGTATCTGGTCACTTGGAGTGCCTCTGGTGTTGCCGCAAGGAGGTCCTCCATTGTGCATGTGGCAGGGCTCAGGGTGCATTGCAGCAGGTGGTCAGTGGTTTGCTCTTCTCCACACTCGCATGTCGTGGATTCCACTTTGTAGCCCCATTTCTTAAGATTGGCTCTGCATCTCGTGGTGCCAGAGCGCAGTCTGTTCAGCTCCTTCCAAGTCGCCCAGTCTTCTGTGTGCCCAGGGGGGAGTCTCTCATCTGGTATCACCCACGGATTGAGGTGCTGGGTTTGAGCCTGCCACTTTTGGACTCTCGCTTGCTGAGGTGTTCCAGCGAGTGTCTCTGTAGATCTAAGAAAACTATTTCTTGATTTAAGTCGTTGACGTGCTGGCTGATACCCAAACAGGGGGTGAGCTGGAGATGTCTCTGCCTTGGTCCTTTCACTATTGGCTGCTACTTCCCAGCGGATGTCAGGTGGTGCAATACCGGCTAAACAGTGTAATTTCTCCAGTGGTGTAGGGCGCAGACACCCCGTGATAATGCGGCATGTCTCATTAAGAGCCACATCCACTGTTTTAGCGTGGTGAGATGTGTTCCACACTGGGCATGCATACTCAGCGGCAGAGTAGCATAGCGCAAGGGCAGATGTCTTCACTGTGTCTGGTTGTGATCCCCAGGTTGTGCCAGTCAGCTTTCATGATATTGTTTCTAGCACCCACTTTTTGTTTGATGTTCACGCAGTGCTTCTTGTAATTCAGAGAATGGTCCAGAGTGACTCCCAGGTATTTGGGTGCGCTGCAATGCTCCAGTGGGTTTCCTTCCCAGGTCATCCCCAGAGCTCGGGATGCTTGTCTGTTCTTAAGATGAAAGGCACATGTCTGTGTTTTAGATGGATTAGGGATCAGCTGGTTTTCCCTGTAATAGGCAGTTAGAGCACCTAGAGCTTCGGAGAGCTTCTGTTCAACCATCTCAAAGCTCCCTGCTTGAGCGGTAATGGCACGATCATCAGCATAGATGAAATTATTGGGGTGAAAGGAGGAAGAACGGAAGTCACAACTCTAATTGCCTGGCATAAATACCATTTTCCAAAACAGTTATGACTCTAACAGGTCATGCTTTTACCAAGAGATTATGGCATCATTTTTCAAAAAGGTTATGACTTCTAACAAGGTCATGCATTTCCAAAAATCATAAAATCTCCAAAAGGTTCTGGAGATCTCCATTTTCAAAAACATACAAATCACCACTGTTTTTAGCTGTGCTTCAATTTGTGATGTGAGCTGCCTTGGGTCTTTAAGTTGGGAGAAAAAGTGGGATATAAATAAAATGTATCTGCAATGAAAACATAAAATACAACTAGCTGCCTACAGTGCAATAAGGGTCTTTGGACCACAATAAAATGTTGTTGTTGTTGTTGTTGTTGAACTAACCACAAACTAAAACAAAGTTGTACACCTACTATTTGAACCTTCTATATTTTCAGTGTACATGAAAGGAGGGAGATTGCCAGGAACCGAATTTACTATTGGAACCATTTCTAAAATAATTGCATTCCTCCTTCAGTTTGTTTATGTTGCACCTACTTTGCCTTATGCAAAGACACCACGTTAATTTACCCAGGACTGCCAAGTCGTATGACTTCATAAGCCATGCTTGCAGCTGAGGGATATAGTTTATTTTCCAGTACTTGGAAAAGTCTTAGTGCTGTGATCATGCAAACAATATTTCATTATCTTTCAGGACTGCAGCTTTCTATTGAGTTAATAAATATATATCTTTGAATCTCTTGGTGTTTTCCATCGCAGAGCTAATTTTTCCTCCCACCACTTAAGGGATGTGAGAAAAATGGCAAAGTTTTAATTTTAAAATTTCGTAATATGTTTGGTAGGGCCTAAGTATCCCATCTGATGTTGGAAGCTAAGCAGAGTGACCTCTGGAGTGGTTAGTACTTGAGTGGGAGTCTGTCAACAAATACCAAGTGCTGCAGGCTGTATTTGGGTTCTCTGTGTAGTCTGAGAACACAGAAATGGTGGACCACTATGCCGTCGCGCCTGGGGGCTATAACTCGTAGTGAAAGAGACATAGACGTGACATCTTTCCCCCAGGGGATTGCTTCTTGCCTTCTTTAAAGAACTGGAACTCCCAAGGACCAAAACACTGTAGATAACTCAAAATAGGTTTTATTGTCCACAAAGAGTTATCCCTTTAAGGCAATAAGCTGGAAGTTTCAAAGGGGTAAAGGAAATATACATTACAGTCTCTGGTTGTCTTGGGTCCAAGGAGATTTCGCAGCTGAGTAGAGCTTTTCAAAGTTCCCTCTTTCTCAATGCCTGAACATTCACAGTCCCAATCCAAATGGCCTATATTTGAAGACACGAAGCCTTCCTCTGGTGCCACAGGGCCAGTTTGAAGGCACTTGGGACTCCTCAATGTTGTCCAGGGCGATCTGGGCATGAAGTATGAGTCCCAAGGGTAAAAACCTTAGAATTGGTGATGAGAGGTAACTTAATTAAGGGCTTTAGAGCCAAGTCTCTTTCTCATATCTATCTGATAGAAAGTTTGATGGTAGAATGGAAAAAAGAAAAGCTCTGCCCTCCTCCAGGAAGAGGTGGAGCCAAGCAATTGAGCTGAGGAAGCAATATAACTGGTGCAAACAACATTGATTGACAGCTATAAATAACCAATCAATCCAACTATACATTTACAAACTAGGCAAGTTTGGGCATGTTATACAGTTGAAACCTTTGCAGTTTAAAGTTCTACACACAGGTGGCGCCACTCGCGCCATCACAACCACTCTTGTTCATTCGTTCAGTCGTTTCCGACTCTTCGTGACCTCATGAACCAGCCCACGACAGAGCTCCCTGTTGGCTGTCACCACCCCCTGCTCCTTCAAGGTCAATCTAGTCAATCCAGTCACTTCAAGGATTCCATCCATCCATCTTGCCCTTGGTTGGCCTCTCTTCCTTTTTCCTTCCATTTTCCACAGCATACTATGATCATATCAGACTACACAGAGAAGCCATTGAAATCCATAAACATGTGGACAATTTCAACAGAAAGGAAGAAATCTGGCTACCAATATTTAAAAACCCTCAATTCATAACAGTAAACTAAGAACAACACTGAAAAACAGGGGAATTCCAGATAAGAAAAAATCAGGGCCAGCTAATCACCTCCTAACAAAGGATTCCTCCAGGCAGTAAGAAGCCAGACCTTGAAACTGCTAGGTCATTCACTGCTAATCAAGGTAGCCAATTGAAACATTCACACCTACCCCAAACAGACAAGAGTTCTTTTTCCCACCCTGGAAATTAAATCTATATAAATAAAAAAAATTAATGTTCGTTTGTGGGATTAACATAACTCAAAAACCACTGGAGGAATTGACACCAAATTTGGACACAATATACCTATCAGGCCAACGAGTGACCATCACTCATAAAACACTGAAAAACAGAGCAGAAGGGACTTAAAGGGCCAAAAAAGCAAAAAGATACTACAGCGCATGCGCAGAAATGACTCTCCTGGCAAACAAAACACACAATAGCATATCCACACTCCCTTCTGGACAACAAGCTCCTAGACCAGGCTCTTTAGGAGAGGAGGATGATCCAAATGCACTGCTTGCAAGCTGTAAGCTTTTTTCTCCTTGGATTTCTTTGAGAGCATCCTAATCCCGGCGTATTTCCAATTTTCTCTTCCTGGACTGCAACTCCCAGCAATTCTCCAGATAGATAGATTGGATAGAGATAGATAGGTAGATAGATAGATAGATAGATAGATAGATAGATAGATGGATGGATGGATGGATCAGGAGAACTGCTGGGAGTTGCAGTCCAAGAATAGGTAGAGAAGGAAGAAAGGAGAGAAAGAGGAAGGGAAAGAAAAGGAAGGAAGGAGGGAGAGAAGGAAGGAAAGAGAGAGAAGAAAGGAAAAAAGGGAAGGGAGAGAAGAAAGAAGGAGAGAAAGAGGGATGGAAGGTTGATCAGAGAGTTAAATAATAAAAAAGAAAGGTTTTCCCCTGATATTAAGCCCAGTCATGTCTGACTCTGGGGTGTGGTGCTCATCTCCATTTCTAAGCCGAAGAGCCAGCGTTGTCCGTAGACACCTCCAAGGTCATGTGGCCGGCATGACTGCATGGAGCGCTGTTACCTTCCCGCCGGAGTGGTACCTATTGATCTACTCACATTTGCATGTTTTCGAACTGCTAGGTTGGCAGAAGCTAGGGCTGACAGCGGTAGCTCACACCGCCTCCCCGGAATCGAACCGCTGGTAGATATATAAACCCTGTTTGCCTACTTTCCAACAGACCTCATGACCTCTGAGGATGGCTGCTATAGTTGCAGGTGAAACGCCAGGAGATAATGCTTCTGGAACATGGCCCTACGACCCGGAAAACTCACAACAACCCACCTATCAATATATGGCAATTCCATAAATTTAGAAGTTTGTCTTAGGAAAGAATACTCTGAGATAATTTTGTTAGTTCAGCCTGCAGCACTTGGTATTTGTTGACAGTCTCCTGCTCAAGTACTAACCACTCCAGAGATCACTCTGCTTAGCTTCCAAAATTAGTGATTCTGGCCATGGAAGTCTTTGACAATATATTGATAGGTGGTTTGAAAGCATGCACATATACATAATGTATGCAATGAGGAAATTTTGTTATTTTTACTCCATCACATATTAGTGGTAGCACAAGGAATATGTACTTTTGACGTTATGAATATTGTTTCATGCCTTCTTTATAGTAGCTGTAACTTGATCCCATTTCATCTTTTACAGACGAGAGCAGAACAGTCCCAAGGTGCCTACTTCTTGCCCGAATTTGCACTCTCTCCACAAGGAAGTTTCTTGGAAGACACTGCGGGAGAACAGTTCCTTACCTACCGCTACGATGACCAGGTTTGTCTCCCAAATATAAAAATAATGGTGTTCCTTTCTTCGGGCTATATGGCCATTCTCTCCTGACGTTTCACCTGCATCTATGGCAAGCATCCTCAGAGGGAGTGAGGACCTGTGCATTTTAGGTAGTGAGCATCCTCACTACCTCTGAGGATGCTTGCCATAGATGCAGGCGAAATGTCAGGAGAGAATGCCTCTAGACCATGGCCATAAAGCCCGAAAAAACCTACAACAACCCAGTGATTCCGGCCATGAAAGCCTTCGACAATACGGTGTTCCTTTCATCTCTTGAGTGAGACTCTGGGAAATGTGTGATCCCAAGACAGAGCGTTCTCTAAAGTCTGGTGCATATTTTGAAAGGGAACTGGGCCACAATTAATCCTTATTTATTTATTTACGATATTTATAGCCCGCCTTTCTCAGCCATACAGCGACTCAAGGCGGGTTACAGATTGGCACAATTCAATGCCAGGCATTCATAAAAGTGCCATTAAAAACAATCAACATTACAATATAAAACATAAATAAAAACCATTAAAGCATATAATCATTGGTGTCATCCTGTTAAAAACGTTATCCAGTAACATCGTCTGGCCATTCCATGTTCATCATTCATAGTTCCATGTTATCTATTCTGCTGCATTCTCAAAAGCTTGCTCAAAGAGCCAGGTCTTTACTTTTTGAAAGTCAGGAGGGAGGGGGCCGATCTAATCTCTTATCCCTGGGAGGGAGTTCCATAGCTGCAGGGCCACCACAGAGAAGTCCTTGTCCTTCGTCTCTGCCAGTCGCATTTGCGAGGCAGGTGGGATGGAGAGCAGGGCCTCCCCTGATGATCTTAAGCTCCTAGATGGTTCATAGGAGGCAGGGGTGGCTCAACCCATTACGCAAAGTAAGCATTTGCAGTATCATCTGCTCTCTCCCCGGATTCGAACCTGTGACCTGTCAGTCTTCAGTCCTGCCAGCACAAGGATTCAATCCATTGTGTCACTGGAGGCTTCTTAATAATAATAATATCAATAATAATAAGTCAGCACGGGGAGCTGGAGCTGACAGAGGGGACTCATCTGCTCTCTCCTTGGATTCGAACCTGTGACTTGTCAGTCTTCAGTCCTACCAGCACAAGGGTATGATCCATTGTGCCACTGGGGGCTCCTTAATAATAATAATATCAATAATAATAAGTCAGCATGGGGAGCTGGAGCTGACAGAGGGAACTCATCCACTCTCTCCCCGGATTCAAACCTGTGACTTGTCAGTCTTCAGTCCTACCAGCACAAGGGTTCAATCCATTGCGCCACCGGGGGCTCCTTAATAATAATAATATCAATAATAATAAGTGAGTATGGGGAGCTGGAGCTGACAGAGGGAGCTCATCTGCTCTCTCTGGATTCGAACTTGTGACCTGTCAGTCTTCAGTCCTGCCAGCACAAGGGTTCAATCCATTGTGTCACCGGAGGCTTCTTAATAATAATAATATCAATAATAATAAGTCAGCACGGGGAGCTGGAGCTGACAGAGGGAGCTCATCCGCTCTTTCCCTGGATTCGAAACTGTGACCTATCAGTCTTCAGTCCTGCCGCCACAAGGGTTCAATCCATTGTGCCACTGGGGGCTCCTTAATAATAATAATATCAATAATAATAATAAGTCAGCATGGGGAGCTGGAGCTGACAGAGGGAGCTCATCCGTGCTCTCCCCAGATTTGAACCTATGACCTGTCAGTCTTCAGTCCTGCCACCACAAGGGTTTAACCCATTGTGCCACCGGGGCTCCATAGTAATGGTTTTTGGTTTTTTTTTGGCCATGTGAGGAGTGACTTGAGAAACTGCAAGTCACTACTGTTGTGAGAGAATTGGCCGTCTGCAAGGACGTTGCCCAGGGGACGCCTGGATGATTTGATGTTTTTATCATCCTTGTGGGAGGCTTCCCTCATGTCCCATAGTAATGGTGAGGCCATGGATCATATTTTTGTTTTTGTGGACCTCTGGTGGTCCACAGAACATAGGTTGGGAACCACTGCTCTAGTGGAGGGAATCATAGCTAGAAATGTTCACAGAAATCTATAACGACATTAAACTTCATAAAACATTAAAAACACGAAATTTTAATTTAATACAAAAAAACACACTACGTTTCTGGGCTGGTGGACACCAACTTCTTCATCAGGAAACACAACACAGCTACGGTCATTGTGTTTGATATCAAACAAACCTACTTTTTGTCGACAGCATGGTGCATAGTCTTGAAAAAAAATATAGTATTGAAAGTAGTCTGTAAGTTTGCAGTATTTCCTTTCCTACCACTCAGGAAAAAAAAGGCAATATTAATTCTGACATCTGTTTTTCACGCCTTCCCTCACTTTATTTGGACGGCTGCCTGGCTAGTGCTGGAAAGTGACTGGGAGATGGAGCAAAGATGGCCTCAGGGTCTGTTCCCAACCAGTATGACATCTGGAATGCTATATATTGAGGATCAATTCAGAATTATAGTTTAATAAGAGCGGCGTTCAAACAGTCGGCCTACAGCACAGCAAAACGGAGAGTGTATAGCATATACTGTGAATGCCGCTGTCTGCGGAGGTGTCCGAAATGTCATTTGCAGAGGCTTCCCTTCCCATGTGGCTGTTTCCTCACTCTGCTCCCCGTATTGTTTTACATCTCATACTGATCTGAAGGCTTTACAAGATAGACAGTGAAGTCATAGTTGTAATAGATCCATAATCTTTATCTTTTGGGGAATTTTTAGTATGTCTGGGATTTTTTGTGTGACCGCCTTTTCTCATCCTCTTAAACAATGTGGACGTTTGAACTTCTTTGTTGACTTGTTCTTGCAGATTTCCATATGTCATTGCAGATTCTCTCTATTGCTTTACCCAAAGGGTCATAGTGATGTATCTCATGAGGAATTGTTTATATTTTTATTGTAGGATGTCATAATACTTAGCTAGCTTAAAAGGACAATATTCAAATTCAGTATTCCAAGCATTATTTATCTGTCCGAAGCATCAATGAGACATCATCGCTGATCTTCTCCCATACTTTCCAGATGAATCAGTTTTGACAGTTCCACTATTGTCTGTATTTATACCGACCAGGCATTTACTACTGATCTTATCTTCCGAGAGATTGAAAAGAAATTGGTTTCTTTCTCATTTCCGTACACAAATATTAATTTTGCAGTGGGTTAAACCCGGTGGTGCAGTGGGTTAAACACTTGTGCCGGCAGGACTGAAGACCAACAGCTCGCAGGTTTGAATAATAATAATAATAATAATAATAATAATAATAATCTTTATTTGTACCCCGCTACCATCTCCCCAAGGGACTCGGTGCGGCTTTCATGATGCCGAGCCCACAATACATCAGCAAAAAACAACAACAGTAATACAAAAACAATAAAATAAAACTCATAAACAAAAAATAGGCAGTAAACATCAACAATAACACAATAACTGTTCCATCTCCCAGGAGACTGGTTTGCATTGCTTTTTTTGGTTGCTTGATTTGGCTGCCTTTGCCTTTCTTTTAGAAGCTGCTGCAGCTTTGCAAGTCCTGGAGTTGCAGCCAAAGGCAGGAAAAAGGGGAACCAGCCTGCAAACTCTTTGCAGTGATTGGCCTAGGGAGCAGCTCTTAGAGCCCGCCCTTCTTCCTGGGGAGAGTTTTCCTTCTTAGAATCTCCCTACCCTGTTCAGTTCCAAAGAAGCCTTTTGGATGTGCTGAGGGCCAAATAGGGCAGCCCAGAAAAAACCACCGCAAAAACTATTGAGAATTAAGATAAGTACAATTGAGAACACACACAATAATTTCCCTCACCTCTGCAGGAGTCTACCGTATACCATGCAGCTGTGGACAAGTCTACATAGGGACCACCAAACGCAGCGCCCAGACACGCATCAAGGAACATGAAAGGCACTGCAGACTACTTCAAACAGAGAAGTCAGCCATAGCAGAGCACCTGATGAACCAGCCTGGACACAGCATATTATTTGAGAACACAGAAATGCTGGACCACACCAACAACCACCATGTCAGGCTACACAGAGAAGCCATTGAAATCCACAAGCATGTGGACAATTTCAACAGAAAGGAAGAGACCATGAAAATGAACAAAATCTGGCTACCAGTATTAAAAAACTCTAAAATTATAACAGCTAAACAACAGAGAGGAAAAAACCAGGCACAGATTAACACCTCCCAGCAACAGATTTCCCAGGCTTAGGCAGGCCTTCAAATGCTAATGAAGGTGATCAGCTAACATTCACACCTAACTGCAGCAGGGAAGAGCTCCTTGCCCCACCCCAGCCATTCCACAGATATATAAACCCATTTTTCCTACTTCCAACAGACCTCACACCTCTGAGGATGCTTGCCATAGATGCAGGCGAAACGTCAGGAGAAATGCCTCTAGAACATGGCTCTATAGCCCGAAAAAACCCACAAGAACCTACAATGGATAGTATAGTTGGGTAAGCTAGATTGACAGCAATTGAGAATTAAGATAAGTACAATTGAGATAGTATAGTTAGGTAAGCTAAATTAACAACAATTGAGTATTGAGATAAGTTTAATTGAGAACTATTGAATGGAGAAGTATTGAGTTAAGTATAGTGAGATAAGTTTAATTGACTATTGAGAGAACAATTGTATTGACTATTGGGAACCACTATTGAGAACAACTATTGAAATAAATATACCCTTTGATGTTTAGACCTCGCAGTGGACTCCATTGTTGATTATCTCAATTTTCTCCAGAAAGCCCCAGCGGTTCGCCCAGACATAGGGACAGCACATCATAGTTTGTTTTATAAAGCGTCTGGGTGTAACGGCACAATATCATTTAAAAATATGGCTGGGCCAAATGCAATGATTAAGATTTTAAAAATAACGCTGAGCAAGACCAGGTGAAATAGAACTAGGATAGAATATCAGAAAAGAATGGGGCGTACAGGCAGTCCTAGATCACTAATAAAGTGCAATTAGGGACATATTGCTGGGAGTTTC